GGGATCCTGTCAGCCAGGTTTTTGGGGAGCAACGTGATTTTTTTTTGACTCTTGGGGTCATTTTGGTGCTGATGGTGACTGCTGTCCGCCCGGGAGCTGAGCAGCCCACATCTCCCTGAAGCTGGTAGATGTTGCTAGTATTTAGCACCTCTGAGAATTGTGCCTTTCCTATTGAGGTGTCAGCATAAATATGTTTATTTAGATTACTTAAATAAATATGTGTTTAGGAGCCTGAGTCTGGGTGCTCAGATCTGAGGCCAAAGGTAATTACGTTTTACTGTGTTCTCCGAAAAAGCCTTTTACTGCATGTGTGAGGCTTGCACATCTACACTTCAATCCATATATTTGGAAAGACGCGGGATGATGTATTTGCATCACATGTGGGTGATGAAATACTTTCCAGCCCGTTAGTAACCAAAAGGATATTAAACAACATCTCTTAGCAGTGAACGCTTTAAAATTAACAGGTCTGGTTAACATGCACCCAAGAGTCTTAAAAGAATTGGCTTTTGCTTACTGAAATATAATTTCCAGTAATTCTCTTTGCTAGAGAAATTACCAGAGAACAGATGAATTGTTGATTTTGTGCTAGTTTTCTGAAAAAGCACGATTTGGGTAAACGAAATCCAGGTAACCTGACACCAGCCGAAGGGAAAATAGGGGCACTGATAATTAAAAGGCTGTTAAAGTTAGATGCGTGGATGTAATGTTTGATCACTTAATTTAACAGCATGTACTATAACGCACCAATGACTAGGGCAGAGCAGCGGGACCCGGGTGGTGTGATGCCCCAGGCTCCCGAGCATGTGGGACCTCGCCAGGGCAGGTGGACCATGGGATGGATGCTTGAGGGATGGAGGACCAGTGCTTTGCAGAGCAGGAGCTCTGGAAAAGGTCACGGCCACGCAGCACATCTTGGTGCCCGCTGTGGCGCAACGCCCTGGCGAAGGGGGGTGACCTCGGGAGAGCGGCGAGCGCGTGTCCACCATCGGTATCGCCCGTCGGGGTGGTAGGTTTTGCAGGAAACAAGCCTGCTGGAGAGAGGTCTGATGGTGCGGCTGGGCAAACACCTTCCAGTGAGAACTTAAAAGTGCAAACCGTTTAGCTTATCTTGAGGATTGACAAGTGACTTGATTGCAGTGTGTAAATATCTTTGTGGGAAACATACTGGTTACTAACGGACCTTTTACTGCTTTGGAGAAAATTGCTGGTTCTTTTTATGTCCTTACAATGAAGTCAGATAAAATCCACTTAGAACCAAGACCCGCGTTTTGTAAAGGTGATAAACTGCTGAAACAGCCTGCTGAGGGAAGGGGTGACTTTTCAGATGGCGCAGACCACAGAAGTCCTCATGGGAGGTGTATCTGGACAAACGCAGGGCACCGGGCTGTGCCCGGGGCAGGCTGTCTTAGTCCAGCTGATTTAATGATTTCTTCTGGCTTTAAACTTTCCGAAACCATTGGTTTCAAGATACGGAAGGAAATTTTGTCCTTGGTTTGAGTGGCACCAAGCCCTTGAAAGAAGGAGATGATGGGGAGGTTGGGAGGTGGCTGGGCTACCAGGGGTTGAAGTTGCCCAGCCCCGGGATGAGGTCCCATTGCAATGGACAAGGGTGGTGGCATCACCCAGATGCAGGGGTGTCTCACAGATCCCAGCAGAACCTTGCTGGGTTCCTGCTTGAGAGGGGCTTGTTTCCGTGCTAAGTCATCTGTGGTTGAAAAACAGATCCATTGTGAGTCGATGGAAAATAGATTATGCGGAATTGAATAAACATCGTTTCTTGGCCTGGGTACAAATGAGCCTGCACCGCTGTGCCAAAGCTGCTGCCAGAGGGGACAAGGCAAGGCGTGCTTGTCGGGAGAGGAGGGAGCACTCCTCCGTGGTCTTTACCGGCCGTGGTCCCTCCCCAGCGGCACAAGGGGTTTGCCAAACCCGCTGGCCACTGGCGCGGTTGGAGAGGCATCTATGGGAAAGCCCAGGCGTGAGCGGCCGGGGAGGGCGGGCGGCCCCGCTCGCACACCGCCTCTGCCGCTGCGGCACCTGGCTTTGGAAATCTGGCCTTATATGGGGCCCTGAGCGAAACAGCAAAAAGGGGACCGGTGCCAAAACCGGAGCGATAACATCTGAAAGAAGAACGCTCCCCCTTCAGGCCCAGGGAGGAAGGAGATGGGCTTCCCTGCCCTTGGTTTTGTTGGTTTGGGTTTTTTTTTTTAACTCAGTACCTTATAAAGTCATGCATGACCCTGGAGCGGTACGGCGAGGGATGCTCGGCACAGGGATGCGTTTAGCACTGAGTGTCGGGGGGGATGTTTTGCAGCAGCCCACCCCGTCCATAGGCTGCCACAGCTCATGCCTGGATCTCCTGGTCCAAGCAAATGAAGCATGTCCTTAAAGAGCAACAGGCTACAGCTTTATTCCTTCTAAAAAATAAAAATCCCATCTACACAGTGGCCAAAGGGCTGGAGCAGCCTGGGCTCTGGAAGCTGCTGGCTGGCTGGGATGCTTTGCATGGTGCATCCCGTTGCCTTACCGAGCTGTCAGGTGAAGTGGGGTGTGTGAGTCCTGCATGTCCAGGGACGTGTCCTCCAGCTCCTTCCGGGGCTGTGCGGGTCCTGCATGTCCAGGGACGTGTCCTCCAGCTCCTTCCAGGGCTGTGCAGGTCCTGCATGTCCAGGGCCGTGTCCTCCACCTC